AGTCCCTGCAGCTGATCATTTTGACTGAGGCCTGAACGCGAAATAACAGCGTTCCCCAATTTTCTATCCTCTACGTGTTCTGGCGTACGGAAAGCTTCACACATGATCATACAGGAAAAGTTTTAATATTGTTCGTTGGCACTGTACTTTGTTCCAGGTTGCTCTAATAAACAATCATGCCAGTTCCTATATGATCATGTGTGAAGCTTTCCGTACGCCAGAACACGTAGAGGATAGAAAATTGGGGAACGCTGTTATTTCGCGTTCAGGCCTCAGTCAAAATGATCAGCTGCAGGGACTACTGTAAGTTGTCTGCATTGTTGCATAAGCAACTTTCTTAAATTTTGATATCTGAATGAAGTAAGACATGACTCTTTAGGATTAAGAGCGAGCCGGCAACTAATAGTCCGGACTTGCCAATTCGTCTTCCCACGGAGTACGGCAGTCTTCCAGCGGATTATGGAACACTTATCCCAAAGGCTAGTAGATCGTATTTACCCTATTTTCTGAGAAATTTTGTGCAACTTTGCCCTGATGACAACTGCGCAACGTGGAATAATAAGTATATACTTATACATATTATTCCACGGTTAGTTGCGTGTCTTCAAATTACCAATAGTTTTGCCAGTAACTATGGAGACTTTTTCAGTCTTAATTTAATCAATCCTCAGCGTGGAATGTATTGGATGGAAATATTTGGGGAGGAGGGGGGGTAAAGCATGCAAATGGAAAGAAGCTGCTGTTCTGTGACCAGATATTCTCTCGCTCGTACGTTTCAGCGATAAATGCGGCTTATACCCAGGGATTCGGCCCCCAGACGATTATCACGCGCGCGGTCTGGGGTCATCCTGAGTCTGCCCGCCTAGGCCAACCAAGCCTTCTACCCTCCGGGGACGGTAAATTGGTACCAGATTCGTCTGGGAGGATAAAACACTGACTTGTACTCGGCTGGCCCCCGCAAGTCATTGTATAGGCCACATCGTTCAGTAAGCCACTACGATTCTAAATGGAAGTAGAACGCATGCCGCATCACCAAAGGGATTGGCCGACGGCGTAGACTTAATCCATTATCTTTTTATCCCTGGATAATGTGCTTGAATGCTATGGTATTCACTTCTACTGCTAAATTTTATGAAATTTCACCTATTTGAAAGCCAAGAACCTTTCCCATTTGCTTAGAAAAGATTCGCATAACTCCCTTTGACAAATGTTTTCAGGACTACGGTCGACCAGTCGCTGGAACAGAAGGCCGTTCAGAAATGCATACATTTTTCGATAACAAGTTGTTTGAAGACAACTCGGAATCATCGAAGGCGAACCGTACATGCGCAACTGGAGAAGAGGCCAGTGTTGGATGGTTGGTGTTAGTTTGATTTTTTGGTATAACAGTAGCCGGCCTTGAGTACTTGCTTCGCCTTTCCTTCTCAAAGTGTCTCCATAATTGCTCATTAATTTCAACTAGATGGTCAATGATTGATTATGCAGGCTGCCTGTCGAACTGCATGGTCGAAGGCGAAGCGCTTTCGTCGCAGGCTCTCCGAAGGCGAATCTCGTTCAGCTTGTCTGGTTTAACTCCAGTAATGGCCGCAATGATCGATTATGTAATGAAACCATTCCGACAGCTCAACGTTTCCACCACTGAATTTGCTGCACTTCAGGCCATAATGTTCTTCGATCCTGGTAAGTGTTCTGCTATTCAACGCTTCCAGTTATTTGCATCAAACTTCTCTATCTTGTATTATTGAGGTGCGATAGCACATCCTTCATGTTGGTCGGCAAGACTACCATGTCCAAAGAAGGCGCGTGAACAGCACACGATCGCGAAGGGTGTCTTTGAATTTAGCCTCCCCGCTTTGAGGATGTCGTGAAGGACTGTCTTGTGATTGGGGGCATAGTCCTTATTATGCCCTTTATTTTGGTCTCGACTCCTTTCATGCTGAAGCCAGACCGGTAGAAAGAGAAAGTAAGGGCTCGAGGTCTTGACGACAGGGCGCTGATGAATTGTTGTCCACTATGCGAAAAAAGAAGCATAAAACACGTTGGTGATACTAAAAGAAGGGCTGTCTGAGTACTATTGTTCACATTATCGATCACGCATTTTCGGAAGAAAAGGAAGTATTTTTAGTTTAAAAGACGTGTTACAACTTTTTGACTTGGGCATCAACTCTTTCTCTCGATTTTCAGTCGCCTACCCCCCACCCCCTCCCTACAAGTCAGAAAGTTGTAAAAGATCCTCCCTCTGTATGAAGTGCCCAGGATGGGGAAGCAAAAACGTTGCCTGGACAATACAACTGGTAATCGCAAGCGATGGGGAATGGGGGACTCATCCGAGGACCTTCAGTCTTTCCATTCTTTAGTGGGAAGAAAAGGTGTTCCGAATGTTGTAACAGTCTCGTTCGCTGCGGGATGCCGTGCATGTCAAACGGTTGAGTTTGGCACGGCACCATGCAGTTTTTCACTAATTGTTGAACGGGGCAAGTGACAACTATTGGTGGAAAACAGGATGGCGCGGCGCCAAGCTCACTGCCTGGTAGGCCCAGCATTCGCAGCGAGCAAGACTGCACTCCTTATCCCTGAGCCAGAGTAGGCGTGGCATTTGAACATGGCACGGAACTGGTTACTCGTGGAATATTCCAGTCTGGGACAACTGTCATCTTGTTCTGTGTTGGACAGAGACACGACAACAATTGTGTCAAGATGAAAATATCTCACCAGAAGCATAGACACCTTCAGGTTAAGTTGAAGCATGCAGGCCACGCCTACCCGATCTCAGGGATTTCGAGTATATATTATACAGTATATCCCTAGACCCGCTGCCGTAGGGGAGACGGTAAAGAGGATCGTAATTCGCCGCACCGCCACGCGCGGCGATGGGCGCGGCGTTTTCATAACTCGTTTTAACCTGTCGAATGGAGCACCGGACTTCATGTAGACCCCGTCATCGTAGACACTCATTACTGTTTTCGGTCCTTAATTGCATGTTGTCGCCATCTACTGCCTGAAACCATCGTCCTTTGCGGGCGGGACGTCGCACGCGACGCCCAGCAGCGCGGCAAATTACGATCCTCTTGTCACATACCCCTGCCGTAGTGCCTTAAGTTATGGCGGTGAAATTCGTTCACAAGTTGTGCTCCAGAAATTGTGAAAGATGTATTTTCAGACACAGATGGCATTGATTCTGCAAGTCAAAGAAATGTTGCTGCCGAGCAGAAGAGGTTGCTAACTGCTCTGCATAGGCACATTCAACGAACCTACAAGGGATCTTTAGCAGATGAGCGATATGCCAACATTCTGTTGAGGGTTCCCACAATTCGAGTAAGTTGGCAGTGATGCAGTCCGAGTAATTCGTTAACCCATTGCGTACCGCGGCGTTTTTGCGCTAACCGGCTCCTATGGCCGACGCCGTTTTATCGACGCGACTTGTGGCGCGCTGAGTATAAACACAAGATTTTTATCTTATACATATAACATAAAATATTGTACACACATCGTATTATGCATCACTTTTATATGTAGACGTATGCTAAACGGGATTCAATATTGTTACGTGATAAAAGTGATGAGCCGAAAAATGTGAAACTAGCCAAAAAAGCTTGATAAAATCAAGAAGAATTGAAAAAGTGACGCAGTGTGCTTAGAAGCTGTTCACTCACACCATTTTACAATTTTCAGTCGTGTTATAACCAGGATTTCGGTTTTATGGTAAATGAGAATCAAGCAAGGAATGAAATGGTTGATATATTGCTGAAGATGTCATTTACTTAGCTCTTATTCAGTCCCTGCAGTTTCCCCCACACATATTTTGTCCCAGAAGGCTTCAGGAATATTCCGACTCTTTTAAATCATCTAACAATGTTAAATAAGTTCAAACGAAGCGTGCTTCACCATGTGCAGCACGCGGCCATACAGAGGCAAACGAGCGTGCTGCACATGATGCAGCCAGGGCACGCCATCGTTGTGATGATAACAACGGGGAGGGGGGTCGTATTTGGTCTGAAAAAATTGGCTGTTGATTTCTTTTGCTTCACGGACGATCTGAGGAGGGGGAGGGGTCGTAGTTGGGAGATGGACTCCAAGAACTATACAACTCTATTTTCCGATGGTAATCATAGTTAAATTGTGACGACCTCCCCCACCCCCTTCCGCTCGATAGCAAAACTTTGGGGAAAAACCAGAAACTTTTCGGGAGAACTGGTAGGAAGTTGGAAAATCTAGGAAAAGTGGTAGGTAGCGTGAAGAGGGGGGTCGTATTCGAGGATGGAATTAAAGGGTGGGGGTCGAATTTTTCGGAAATGATCACAACGCGATGACGTGCCCTTAGTGCAGCACGCGGTACGCAATGGCTTAAACGAAGAAGTAGTGTTTTCATTTCTCGGACAAGGAGGATTTTTTCTTGATGTAGTGAGTAGAACGGCGAAGCTCTTCTTTTCATTGAATCTTTATTACGTGACAACGTTTCGGGCATAAGCCCTTCTTCAGGTCACTCGATCTTAAATCACAGCATCTCCACTTGGCAGTATAGATAGAAATAAAAGTGGTAGGAATGGGACTATTTATAAGGGTGCGGGACAGGGGTGATCTAGAATTAGTCACGTATGTCTCCATTGTGCACGTCTTATATTGATATCAATCCCATTGCCACTTTCATCTCCTCCTTGCTGTTGATGGGTGGTTCTTGTTGCTTTATTTCCATTGCTTCCCTGATCTTCCTTTCAACTGGATCCACCACGTTTCTGTGTAGAATGGAGATGCGAAGTTCCGGCGGTCTTTCTTGAGCGTGCCTTAGTGTGCGGTGTCTCGAGAATGGGTTCTCTGGGTAGCTGTGCGGGTTCCGCAAGCCGATTGGCACCATTACTTGCGATTATATTTATGGATAGCCTTGAAAGAGCAGCCTTGGCGTCTGGAGTTCTTACTTCGGACGATATATCGACGACATTTTCATTGTCGGAGATCACGGACTGCATTACGACAGACATTTGGAAAGCTCAATGGAATGTGCCAGTCAATAAAGTTGACAGCCGAACGCCCTTCCCCGGATGGTTTCTGAATACCAAAGTCAAGATTTCCTCAATATTTCGGAAGGTCAGATCAACACCATATGGTATAAGAAGTTGGCATCCCAGAACATCCTCATTCACGCGAGGAGTTGCCATCCTCTTTACATGAAAGTGAACGTAGTCCGCCATATGGTTAAGACATCACATGAGCTGACCTCCACGAATCACGAACAAATGGAGAGAGAAGTGAAGAACATCTTGCGGCAAAACGGATATAGAAATCGGCAGCTTCAAAGCTGGAGGCCTTACCGATCACCTTATGGTACTCCACTTGTGTTACCTTTCATCAGCGACTCGTTCGCAATTGATGTTAATCGCGTCGTGAAACGATCACGGCTTCCTATAAGCCTGGTATTTCGACCACCTCTCAATTTACGACGACTTTTAACATCATCGCGTCCGTATGAGAGTCGATGTGAAAGAGCTAACTGTGTGATCTGTGGAGAACATAAGGTGTGTCAAGAAAAATGTGTGGTGTACAAAGTAGTGTGCCTTTCGTGTCACGAGTTTTACATAGGAGAAACATCAAGGCCACTACACAAGAGAATGGAGGAGCACTTAAGAGCTTTGCGGAACCCGCAGAGCTACCCAGAGAACCCATTCTCGAGACACCGCACACTAAGGCACGCTCAAGAAAGACCGCCGGAACTTCGCATCTCCATTCTACACAGAAATGTGGTGGATCCAGTTGAAAGAAAGATCAGGGAGGCAATGGAAATAAAGCAACAAGAACCACCCATCAACAGCAAGGAGGAGATGAAAGTGGCAATGGGATTGATATCAATATAAGACGTGCACAATGGAGACATACGTGACTAATTCTAGATCACCCCTGTCCCGCACCCTTATAAATAGTCCCATTCCTACCACTTTTATTTCTATCTATACTGCCAAGTAGAGAGGCTTGACGGAGTTTGTGCTCCTTCTCCCTTCTACACAGTGTGGGTTGTTGCTATGTTCACTCTATTAGTGCTGTAACATTGTAAGGGTAAATGCTGTTTAAGATCGAGTGACCTGAAGAAGGGCTTATGCCCGAAACGTTGTCATGTAATAAAGATTCAATGAAAAGAAGAGCTTCGCCGTTCTACTCACTACAGCAAGATTAAACACAATGAAGCTCAAGGAACCATCGATTCTGAAGATTTTTTCATCTATTTCAGAAGGTTGCTGCGAAGAAGAATGAGTCATTGCAAATGATAGACATGTTGAACCTATTTGCGCTGAATTCTCTGGTAAAGGAAACAGCACTCGGTGTACGAACGTCGACGTCAAGTACCCCAGCTCTTGGCTCCACCATAAATGGCGAGTATCCTTCTGAGTGAAGGTTTTACAAAGATGAAGTGAAACGTACGCTTCTGTAGTCATGCTCAGGAAGAAATCAGCGTCAGGTTTAAGCTTTGTACTTTCCGCATTATATCCAGAATTTCCAGTATTCCACTATTATGCTGATTTCTCATTTTGCTAGTCCTATTAATCGTTTATGCGTTGATTCGGCCAGTTCCTCAGTTCATTTTTCCATAACTATTTTTTTGGATAATACTATTGTAGTCATTCCAGAGTTGTTCCTTTGCTAATACTTGAGAATACGAATAGTGGTCAAGATCTTTTCTGGAATAGACTACCCCGTTAGTTGGAATAGCAGCACCTCATAATTAGACCTACTTGTGGCTCGAAAATCTTGTGCGACACGAGCGAAGCATATTGAGAACGCATAATTGGGCGATTTTCCGCTCCTTTATGTGGGGATATGCTCTGTCAAATTTTGTGTGTCCTGCTTCTGTTCGTCCTCACCCTCCCCCGAGACAGTGGTCCCACCCTCTGCTAGGGTTGAACCTTAGCAAAGGGAGGAAACACCACGCAAGCAACCAGAAACTGCCTCAAGTCGCGCTGTTCTCCTAATTGCTGCATCACAGGGCCTGGCACGTCACCGTCTGGAGTCCGCGCTATGCGCGCAGGAGTCGAAACATAGCTTGAAGCGCCAGGCGGTCTTGGGCCAAACGGATGTATCCCTCCGGTGTTCTACACAACTCGCGCCAGCATACGAATAAAATTCGTCGTTGACGTAGCCTCCAACATGAGTTTGCTGTAGGTCCGCCACAACTCGTCTCAATAATGCTGTCGAATGCGGTTCAACGCGCGTGGCTCTGAGCCATAAGTGGGTTATGGAGTGATAATAAGCAAAACAGTCTGAAAATAATTCGAGAGAATCGTTTATTGTCGTTTCCTGCCGTACAACTATTTGACGCTATCCTGACCTGCCTAACCATTTCCTTGTTCAGTTTCTAGTTAATGACACGCTAGTGATCCATTCATGAGTTGTGATCGGAGTCAAGTACTTTAGTAGTCGTAATGTGCTGTGATATTGAATGAGTAGGAGTCACAAGTTCAAGTTTTGACCATTTCCCGCAATATAGTGAAAGCTTAGTGGATTGTTAATGGCATAGAAATAAATTAAGAGGTGACACGATGTTTCAGATGGTTATATTTGATACCGCTACATGCGGCTTGATCACTTTGCTATCCGTGAGTTTTATTGTCTTCATTTGCTCAACAGGAATGTTATCATCTTCATTCAGTTGATAGAAATGTACTCTAGTGAACTTGTTACGATCAAATCATCGATTCTGAGATTCCATTTGAGGGTTCCGATTTTTCCTCTTCCGGGTCATCTCTTCAGTATGCTAATATACTTTCTTTTCCATGACTCATAGATTCATAAATTTCTGTATGTTGTTCGTGAAAACATCTCTTGATGTGATGTGATAAAGTGAAATATACTTTGATCCAGGAGTTGTACTTATGGGTTAATAAATGCTTATTCCAATTGTAGAACAATTGCAGAGTTCGGAGTTGCCATTTCTTCATACCAGTTCAGTTTAAGCCTTTCCGAGTGCTTGTATTTCTGTTGTTGGACTTCTGAGTTTTCAAGCTTACCAACACTACCTTACATCATTCATAGTTGATTTGAATGACACACATATCCAGAATTAATTGACTGTCTAATTTAAAGACAGCTCCCGCGATCATGAAATGCTTCGGTACACTAAGCATTCCGATCCGCTGTCGCAGAGTATACCACTTTTGTCACTCGAAACGGCGAGCTAAAGAGGCCACAGAAGCGTAGTCATTGCAACCCCTATTAATTTCACTCTGCAAGACAGCGGCTCACACGCGGAATCACGTGCGTGCATTGTGTTGTTTGGAGCGTCGTATGGCAATCACCCAAGCCCCTCTGAGTCTTAGCTTGTAGACATTTGTTGGTTTTGGAGTTGTTCTGCTCAACCTGAACATGTTTCTGAAAACAATATGTCAGTGGCAGTCCTTTTCGCGAGACAAGTGGGATTTTTAGCGCTGCTCATACCCGGCTGCGATGTAGTCGATTGGTGCGAAAGCTCGCCCTGCATTGCGTCCTGCTTTGCTTGCCGTAGTCCTGATTTTATGGACAGAGGAGTTTTTGAGAGCTATTTTCTGTTGCATTAGTTTTGTTTTTCTACTGTTTCTGGATGGCATTCAGTACCAGAAGATGCAAAGAGTTTATTTGCAAGCTAAGGTTTGCACAGAGACCGCAGGGTGTCGAGTCGTCAGCACGTCCGGACAAGTCGTGCAGTGAATGACTGTCATGGAGGATTTCGTTTGAAGTGTTCTCAAGTATTTTTTGCTTCTTCCCTTCACTAGACCGCTTCAAGTCACTTATCGGTTGCTGGTTCATAACTGAACGCCGATTACTTGTTGTACTTAATGGCGGGAATTGTCTTTAAGAGGAATGGGTGTGTGAGCATGGTGAACTGCTTGGTGAGAAACTGTAGTAGGGGAGGATATTCGGCAAAATCCTCACTCTAGCTATTGACCGTGTGGCCCATGTTAGGGTGGTCTAATGATGCCGCGGTTTCACTCTTCAGGCAGCCTTCAGCCTTTGCGATAGCACGCGTCGACGCGGCACCATTGTAGTGCTCCAAAGCTTGACGGGAATGTACGGACGGGTAGTAATCGCAGCCGGCCGCTAGTGTTCCAAGAAGTTAGCAGAACAGGAGCGTACGCATTGCCTACCATCTGGCACCCAAGGGCAGTGTTGGAACGCATCATACTCCACCTAGGAAGTACCTTGCTTGTTCGCATGCAATGTTTCGTCTCGGGTATGCAATTCACCAGTTTGTTTTCTGTTTATGCTCACTACCAAAACACAGCCGCTGTATTCTTCATTTCTTCAGAGAAGTTTTCA